TGTGCATGGTTTCCGGGGTCCGGGCAAGTGTAGTATGCACAAGGAATGCCACCCGAGGTCCTTTAAGCTGACCTCCGAACATTCCAATCAGAGAGCCGTGCAGCAGGACCCTCAGGCACTAACCTCCGAACGGTCCAATCAGAGCCTCAGAGCAGGACCTCCAGGCACTAACCTCCGAACGGTCCAATCAGAGGGCTGTACACCAGGTCCCGCCCTCACATCCCCCAAACGGCCCAATCAGAGTTATACAGCAAGACCCTCCGGCACTAACCTCCAAATGGTCCAATCAGAGAGTCGTGCAGCAAGGACCCTCAGGCACTAAACTCTGAATGGTCCAATCAGAGAGCCGTACAGCCGGGTCCACAGGCACTAACCTCTGAACGGTCCAATCAGAGAGCTATACAGCAGGTCCCGCCCTCACTGTCCCCCAAACGGCCCAATCAGAGAATTGTACAGCAAGACCCAAATGGTCCAATCAGAGAGACGTACAGCACTAACCTCCAGCTGCTCATGGTTCTGGGTATGAAACCCGGCGACTGCGGCAGTCGATGGAGCCAGGTCAAGGAGAGTGGCTTGATCCTAGAGCCGAGGCCTGTGCCAACCAAGGCGAGGGGCCTGGCCTGGGGGAGACATAAGCAGCCCCTAACACCGCTGGCACTCCAAACACCACCCCTTTTCCTCCACCCTTAAGCACGCAGGGGGAAGGCTGGACCCTCTGGTTTTTAGCTTCTGGACCACACCTGACGATGCTCAGGGGTCACTCCTACCTCTGTGCTCTGTACTCAGGCTCAGGAGTTACACCTAGCGGTGCTCAGAGAGCCATATGGGGTGCTGGTGATCGAACCCGGGTCTGCTGTGTGCAAGGCAAGTGCCCGCCCTGCTCTACTATGGCTCCAGCCCTGTTTCAGGACCCCTACGCTGGAGCCTGGGGACAGCCCCCTGATGTACAGCAACTGCCTTGTGAGGTGAGACTACGGGCTCCATCCTGGGTGCTCCGTGTCTGTGGCCCCCACACGCCAGGTCATTTCATGCTTTACAGCAGCAGTTGCATTAAGTGGGGGCCAGGCGACCATGACGGACAGAAGGGAATTCAAAGAAGCCTGGCTTTGGTTTCAGTCTTTTTTTTGTTTTTCCTTTATGGGGGGTGGGAATCTGTCTTTTGGGGTTGTCCTGGGCAAAAAATAATAAAACAAAAACCCTGACTTTTTAAAAAAAATTTTTAAATTTATTTTTATTTATTTTTGCTTTTTGGGTCACACCCAGCCGATGCTCAGGGGTTATTCCTTGCTCTGCACTCAGAAATCACTCCTGGCGGTGCTTGGGGGGCCCTATGGGATGCTGGGAATCGAACCCGGGTTGGCCGCATGCAAGGCAAACACCCTACCCGCTGTGCTATTGCTCCAGCCCCCCCCCCTTTTTTTTTTTTAATGGGACAGGGCTTATTCCTGACTCTGCGCTTGGGAATCACTCTGTGTAGTGTCCAGGGAATCATAAGGGATGCCGGAGCCCAAGTTGGCCACTTGCAAAACAAGTGCCCTATCCTATGTCCTATTGCTCCAGCTCCCAAGCCTCACACATCAGAGGTCGGCCTTCTGAGGCCAGACTGATCATTTTATTCTTTTTTAAAATTTTTTTTTTAAATTAGGATCACTTGCTCAGGATCACTCTTGGCGATGTTCAGGGGACAACCCGTGGTTCTGCAATTAAACTGGGTCAGCTGCATGTGAGGCAAATGCCTCCCTGCCTCCCCGAAACCATCCTAGCTCTTCGGAGCTAGCAGGGCTAGAGTCTTCCTACAGTGGGGAGGGGGGGCAGCGCCTGCCTTCCTGCCATCCATATGGACACCAAGCAATGAGCCCTGAATCCAGAGACAAGAGTAAGCATTGAGGGCCTGGAGCAATCATACAGAGGGGAGGACACTTGCCTTACATGCAGCCAACCAGGGTTTGATCTCTGGCACCCTATATGGTCCCCTGAGCACCGCCAGGAGTCACCCCTGAGCATCGCTGGATGCGACTCAAAAAAACAAAAGCAAAAAGGCGGTGAGCACCACCGGATGTGACTCCCCCCAAAAGGGAGATCTTGGTGAAAAACCTTTCTGAAGCCCAGGGCTAGCGGCTCCTGGTGAGCGCCCACCTGGCAGGCCGACTGGGTGACTTTTGCCGTTTGTGCTCCAGTGGCCTTCCAGGGCATGTTCTTCAAAGGCAACTGATAGGGGGAGGGAACTCATCTGACCAGGACGAACTGACGAATTGCATTTGGTTTGTCTTGGCGCCACACACCATGGTGCTCAGGGCTGACTCCAGTCTCTGCGCTCAGGGATCACTCCTGGTGGGGTCGGGAACCAGGTGGGGTGCCGGGGATCAAACCTGGTCTTCCACGTGCAGGGCAAGTGCCGTCCCCACTGGCTCTGGCCCTCCAGACTTCCTTTTGCCCGATGAAGGCAGCACAGCTGGGGAGCGGCCAGGCACACCTGGTTCAGGCAGGACTGGCCTTTGCCTTTTATTGGAAAAGTCATGGCAGGGTGGAGGGAAAGGAATGTGTGTTTGGGCCACCTCCGGTGGCTGTTCCTGGCTCTGTGCATGGGAGGGATGCCCTGTCCCCTGCAGGGAAGCACAGGTGGTATCAGGGCTTCTAGCCAGGTCAGCCAACAGGCCGCATTGCAAGACAAGTGCTCACACCTGCCCTATCTCTCCGGAGGCAAGATTCATTTGGAATTAATTTGTTGTTGTTGTTGTTGTTTTGCTTTGGAGCTACACCCAGCGGTGCGCAGGGCTGACTCCTGGCGCTGCGTGCAGGGGTCACACTAGCCGGGCTCAGGGGACCCTCTGGGGTGTCAGGGATCGAACTTGGATGGGCTGTGTTCAAGGCAAAGGCCCCACCCGCTGCACTAGGGCTCTGCTAATTTAGAATAGTTTCTGGCATTCAGCAACTTTTGTGGCCAAATGTCTCGCGGTCCCTTGTCAGATGTGACTCCTGAGAGGATCCAGCTAAGAAGCTGGAGGAGGGGGAGAGCGGAGATGCTGCAGAGCCCAGGCTTGGCGCATGGAGCCCTGGGTTTGGTGTCTGGCACTGCTGGGAGCGACCCACCTGGCGTGTCCCCCAAGTCCCATGGAGGGGCCAGCAAGCCAGGGCTGGGGGACAGAGGCGCGCCTGGCCTCTGTGGAAGCCCTCCGGTTTTCGAGGTGCTTCGTTAAGATCCCCAGGAAGGAAGGCAAGGAGGAGGGGCAGGGAGATGAACCGAGTACAGCAGGTGTGGCCCTGGGGCTTCCCCTGTGAGAAGGTTCTAGAAGGTAATCGCCCTGCAGGGGTAATCGGGGTCAATAGGTCTGCAGGTGAGGCCTGTGGGAGGCGAGTCCAGAGTTTCCAGCCTCTCAGGGACACCCACGAGGCCCAGAGTGCCAGTCACAGGGCAGACTGACCCACAGGTCCACTCACACCCCACCCCCGCACTCGGCTGGACCTCCGCAGAAACAGAGACTGCCCCAGGACCAAACACTCCTGCAAGCGGCCAAGAATCCTGTGTGACGGGTCTGCCGTCTTCCCGGTGCCAGCGGCAACACACCCGCCACCCCTATGCCTGGCAGGGCCGCCAACTCAGGTCAGTATCAGAGAGCTCTGGGAAGGAAGCAGCAGCTCCGGTGCCAGCCGGCAGGGCAGGACAGAGGGGACACCTCCCCTCCCCCTGCACCCCTGCAGAGGGAGGCAGGCAGGGCCCCCCAACCTCCTGCCGGGGAAGAGAAAGGTCCCGGTCTGGCCACCCAGAGGCCTGGGCCTGCCCCGTAAACGCAGGGGACCGGCCATGGAGCACCTCGGCTCCCCGCCGCCAGGCCTCTGAATTGCCACATTCTTCCCCTGAAGAAGAAAAGGCTCTCAGGTGGCCCTCCCCTGGGGAGGCCGCCCGCAGGAGGAAGGGGGCGGCCGGGGGGTGCAGGGACAGCTGGCCCCTTGCACCCACGGGACAGGTATTACCTGTGGGCCCAGCTCTGGGTTGGCGAGCACGTCCCATCCAACCGGATGCCAGGCTGCAGTGGGCCTCGCTGGGCACCCGGGGGGTGGCGACTGGGACGCGGAGGCTGGGGGGTGTTGGAGCAGATTTGGGGGACTCCCTCACTGCAAGGGGAGCAGGCCGTGGAGCGGAAGCTGGGCGGAGAAAAACCTGCTGCGGGGTCCAGCGCTCAGCTCTGGGGGTTCAGGCCTCCAGGCGGCAAAGCAGAAGGCACCTCCCTCTGCCCTCGCCCGTCTTGGCGGGATGCTGACCGGTGAGTCTCCGCCGAGAGGCCAGAAAGCTCTTCCCAGGCGGGTGGGAGGTGAAGGGCAGCAATGAGGGGTCAGCAGAGACCGCGGAGGTGAGGGGGCAGGAGCGGCCGCGAGGACAGAGGGGCCATTGTGTGGCCTGGCACAGGGGCCCGAGGGCTCGGTCCTTCGCCTCCCTCGCACTGGGCGGCGTGAGCTGGGGGAGCCGGTCCTGGCTGGGGACAAGGAGGCTGGAGGCCGCCCCGCCCCCTCGCCCGCCGGGGATCGGCGACACCCCGCCCACCCCGCGACCCCGGGCGACTTTCTCACCGCGTGCCTCGGTTTCCCCTCGTCCCATTCCAAGCTCTCCGGGCCTGATGGCAGAAATGCCCCTTTGGGACGCGCAGGGCTGGGGGTGGGGGTTCGCCCCAAGGTCTCCGCGCGGGCTGCTCCTTCCAGGGCCAAGATCTGGGGGCGCGCGCCTTCCAGGCGCCACAGCCCAGGCGGGAGGCGCGGAGAGGGGCGGTACGGGGGGTCCAGCCCCCCGCCCCCGCTCCCGCCCAGTCCCCCGCGCGCCGCGCAGGCCGCCCGCCCGCCCGCCCCGCGTGACCGGCACTGCGGCTGCGGCGCGGTCACCTCGGCTCCGAGCGCCCGAGTCCCCGGGGGCGGGGTGCGGGCCCGGAGGGTGGATGGGGGGCGCCGGCCGGTGTGAGCGAGCGCGCCCCCCGCCGCCTCCCCTCGCGCCGACTTTCTCTGAGTTTCCCCGAGCCGAGCACGCGTCGCTGAGTCACCTTCCCGGAACCCGCTGGGGACCGGCCGGGGGGTGCCGCGCGGGGCGGAGGCGCGCAGCCCCGGCCCCGCGCGCGCGCCCCTGCCCCCCACCCCAAGAGTTGGGAAACGGGGCCGGGCTCCTGGGGCCTCCGGAGGAGAAGAGACCGCGGAGGCGTGCCGCGCGCGGGGCGCCGCCCGGACCTGCCTGCCCCTTCCCGTCCGTAAGAGGCCCCGGCGGCGCGGGGGGTGCGGGGCGCACGCGGCCCCCGGGGACCGGAGCCTCCCGGGACCCCCCTCCCGGCCCGCCCGCGCCCCGCGCGCGGAGCCCCGCGCTTCGGGGCGCGCTCTCGAGCCCCCGGGGCGGCGGGGGACACACCCCCAGAGCCTGCTCGCCACCCCCCACCCGGGCCCCGGGAGGGGCGTGGGCCACAGCGCCAAGCCGCGGGGCGCCCTCCGGCCCGGCCCCGCCTCGGGGGCGTCCGCGCGGGGAGGGGTCCAACTTTTGAGGTTCTCCACCCGGCCTGCTCCTCCTCCTCCTCCTCCTCCTCCCGCCCGCTCCGGACTACGATGCAGCAGCCGACCCGAGAGAGCGAAAAGTGACCCCCGAGGAGAGGCGCGGGCCAGGGGCACCCAGCGGGAGCCGGGCCCCCGACCCCGGGTGGTGGCCGCGGGGCGCTGGCCGCGGACAGACCTGGCGGAGGGGGGTCGCGGCGCCGAGGGTCCCGGGACTCGGCCTCGCGCACCCGGCACCCCGACTTCGGCCGTCCCGGGCGCCGGGCTCGCGGGCTCCGAGCGGCGGGTGCGCGCGGCCGCGTCCCGGGCCCCCGCCGGGCCCTGAGCGTGGCCGAGCCCGGGCGGCGCGGGGAGGCCGGGGCGGGCCGCGGGCGGGGCCGGTTCCGCCCGGGCGGGGCGGGGCCTACCCGGGCGGCGGGGCTCGGCGCCCCGCGGCCAAGTTCAGGGAAAACTTGGCGGCCAGAGGGAGCGGAGCGTCGGAGCCCGTTGTCCCTCGGACGCGGCGCCGAGCCGGGCCGGGCCGGAGCGGGCGCCTCGCCAGCCACAGCCGGAGCGACCGGGTAGGGCCGCCCGCCGTGCCCCGTCGTCGCGCGTGGCCCCGCGGGGGCCCGCGGAACTGGGCCATGCGCCGCGCAGCTGGGGCGCCCGGCCGGGGGGGCTGGGGTCCCGCCTCCGAGTGCGACCTCATGCGACCCCCGCGCTGCGCCCCGGGGCAGAGCGGGCCCCGGAGGCGGGCACGGACCCGCTTGGCCCTGGATCGCGTGGCCGGGACCCCGCGATCTCACGCCCAGACCGGGTGCCCGGCGACGTCCAGCCTTTCTTTTGAGCGCGACTCCCGGCTGGCGGCCCCCCGGGGTGGGGGCGAGGAGCTGATGGGACCCAGAACCACGCGGTTCTGACTCATCCGTCGGGCCGGATTCCAAGCCCGCGAGAGGAAAGCCCCTAGGAAGAAGCGCCCCTTCGGCTCGGGCTCGGGCTGGACCCCCCTGGCCCAGGACCTGGGCTCTCGGGACCTCCCGGGGAGGAGCGGGATCCCCGGCCGAGCGCGCGGAGCCCCACCCCCCGGGTGGGGGCCCCTGGGACTCTGCCAGCGCCCCCTCCTCCCGTCCCCCAGACCCGGCCGCCGCAGGGCATGACGCCGAAGCCCCCACAGCCCCGGCGCCGGGCGCGGAGGGCGAGTCCCGCTGCCGCCGCCGCCGCGACACGCGCCTGGGCAGCCGCGATAAGGAGCTGAAGGCAGGAGCCGACGCCGCGGGCGGCGCCCCGACAGCGCGGGGGACCCCCGGGCCGCCAGAGCCGCGGGTCCAGGCTATGGATCCAGGTTTGTGGGGGCCGGTCGGGAAAAGCTGGGGGGCGTGGAGCGGCGCCCCTCCCCGCTCCCGGGGATGATCGCCGGGTGGGGACGGAGGGGGCGCCCCGGACGGGGCCACTTCTGCAGCGAGGCCAGACGCGGGAGGCGCCTGCGCCGGGCCCCGGGTGCCGCGAGGGCCCCGCCCCCCGCCCGCCCCCGCGCCCACCTGGGCCGCCGTCCGGGCAATGCCCCGGGTGTTCCGGGTGGGGACTAGCGGCCTGCTCGGGCGTGTCTCCTGCAGCCGGCGGCCCCCGGGCTCGGCTCCCGCGGCCCTGCCGCGTGCTGGTGCTGCTGAACCCGCGCGGGGGCAAGGGCAAGGCCCTGCAGCTCTTCCGGAGCCACGTGCAGCCGCTGCTGGTCCAGGCCGACGTCGCCTTCACGCTGGTGCTCACTGGTGGGTGCGGGCGCCGGCGCGAGGGGCGCCCCCTGGCGGCGAGCCCGCCCCGCGTCCTGAGCGCCCGCGCGCGCGCGGTCCCTGCTGTCCCCCCGCAGAGCGGCGGAACCACGCCCGGGAGCTGGCGCGGGCCGCGGAACTGGGCCACTGGGACGCCCTGGTGGTCATGTCCGGAGACGGGCTGATGCACGAGGTGAGGCCGGCGCCCCCCGGGAGGTGGCGGGCGGGGGCCCCGGGGCGCTGTCCTGGCTGAGGCTGAGGCCGCCGCTGCACCCACAGGTAGTCAACGGGCTCATGGACCGGCCCGACTGGGAGACGGCCATCCAGACGCCGCTGTGCAGCCTCCCCGCGGGCTCCGGCAACGCCTTGGCCGCTTCTCTGAACCACTACGCTGGGTGAGCGCTCAGCGGGGAGCGGGCCTCAGTTTCCCCGCTGGGCCCTCTCCGCTGCCAGGGTCTCTGACAAGCTCCTCCGCACTGCACTGCGGCTTCTTTTCTTCCTCTTTGCAACTCTGCTCCTCTTTCCTGCAGCCCTGACCCTCCCCCAGCTCCCGGGTGCTGCTGCCCCTCCCCTGCACCCCACCTGTCCCCGTCGTCGCCGGGGTCCGCAGCTCCAGTTGCTCCCACCTGATCACCCCCCCAACCCCGCAGCTACGAGCAGGTGACCAACGAGGCCCTCCTGACCAACTGCACGTCGCTGCTGTGTGGCCGGCGGCTGGCGCCCATGAGCCTGCTGTCCCTGCAGCTGGCCTCGGGCACGCGCGTGTTCTCCGTGCTCAGCCTGTCCTGGGGCTTCATCGCCGATGTGGACCTCGAGAGCGAGAAGTACCGGCGTCTGGGCGAGATGCGCTTCACGCTGGGCACCTTCCTGCGCTTGGCGGTCCTGCGCACCTACCAGGGCCGCCTGTCCTACCTCCCAGCTGAGCGGGCGGCACCCTGGAGTCCCTCGGCCCCAGCCCTGGGCAGCCAGGCCCCGCCGGGCCCCAGCGATGCCCACCTGGTGCCCCTGGGAGAGCCGGTGCCCGAGCACTGGACAGTGGTGCCTGAGCAGGACTTCGTGCTGGTGCTGGCGCTACTGCACTCACACCTGGGCAGCGAGATGTACGCGGCGCCCATGGGTCGCTGCGCCGCTGACGCCCTGCACCTTTTCTACGTGCGGGCGGGTGTGTCCCGCGCCACGCTGCTGCGCCTCTTCCTGGCCATGGAGAAGGGCCGGCACATGGAGGCCAACTGCCCTTACCTGGTGTACGTGCCCGCGCGGGCCTTCCGCCTGGAGCCCAAGGACGGGAAGGGGGTGTTTGCTGTGGACGGCGAGCTGATGGTCACCGAGGCTGTGCAGGGCCAGGTGCACCCAGATTACTACTGGATGGTCGGCGGCCACGTGGAGCCCCCGGCCGGCGGTGACCCACATCACTCCAGGGCCCCAGAGAAGCCCCTGTAACTGGGCCGTGGGGTCTGCTTGGAGTTGGACTCTTCGTCCCCTGCCGCCACTGCAGGGCCTGTCCACACGCCGAGGAGGACGTCCCCCACAGGAATGTGTGTGTGGGGGGGGGTCTCGGCAGAGACTAGAGCCTGGGCCTGGAGGCCACTGGCGGGCGCCAGCCCGTGACTCCAACCCCAATAAAATGACATTCCCAGACATTGGCCCGGTCCTTAGGGTGGCGAGGCGTGGGCCTGTGGGAAGGGGCAGGCAGCAGCTGGACACAGCAGCTTTGGCTCTTGCCCTGCATCTGCCCTTGTGGCCGCTGGTGGGTAGCACCAGCTCCTTGGGTCTGCCTGGGACCCTGCCGTGGCAGCAAGCAGAGAGGCGCCCCTGGGGCTGGGCTGACGGTGAGACCCTCTAGGCTCGCTGGGAGCTCGGGCTCCATTTTCTGCTTTTTGGCTACACCCGGAAGGGCTTGGGGCTCCCCCTGGCCAGGCCCGGTGGACCCTCTGGGGCATCTGGGACACCTCCCTCCTTGTCTTGTGTCTCTGCCCCCTAAGAATCTACCTTCCCGGGGATCTATATTCCTGCCACCAGCACCCAAGGATGCTATGCCCCCTGGGCGCGGGACCCCCACCTGGGGAAAGGGCTTGTCCTGCCATCCAGCCCAGGCCCCTGCAGGGAGGAAGAGGTGCGGGAGGGAAGAAAGGCCGCGGAGCCCGGTGAATGGCAGAGGCAGGTTTAATGGTGCCACCTTGTCGGTCTTGTACATTGTAATGAGCCAAACTACCCCCCAAAAAAATCTGCAAGTAAAAAAAAAGATTTAATCACACAGCACTTTCTACAGGTATCGTAAGCAAATAGGCATTCACAACTCCACACAAACGGCACTGCGGGCGCGGCCGCGGTCTCTGCGCTCCCCGCGGGCGGGCCGCGGCCCCGGCGTGGAGCCAGCGTGAGGCGGACAAGACGCATCATGCTTTGGCTTTTTTTTTGTCTTTTTTTTTTTTCGAGTAACAGTTAATATCTTTGCTTCTGAGAATTATTTTCTTTCAACCTTAAATATTACATACATACACCAAAAAGGCCCGAGCTGCGATGCGCTCAGCAGCGTCCTCAGCTGGGCGCTTCACATTATCAAAAGCTAGAAAACTTGTAAACCTCGGGCTGCCGGGGAGGACGGCCCGCGGTGCCTCTCCCCAGACCGCCCGCAGAGTGGAAGCGAGGGGCCCGTCTGGGGTGGGGGGCACTGGCTAAGCCTCGGGTGCTAGTTGATCGTGGGAGGGGCCCAGACTAGCAGGAAGCCGGGGCGGGCAGGCGGAGGCCCCGGCCTGGGAGAGCCAAACACCTACTTCTCCCAGCAAGCTGCTCCACCCCCACCTTCTTGGCGCGAGGACCGCGGGCTCCCCTAGGCACAGCGCGACCCTCGGGAGGCACGTCCAGCAGGCCCGAGGGTGGCCTGCGGTCCCAGGGGCCCGGCGGTGGCGGGAGGGAGCCAGGGGTGATGGCTGGAGTCACCCCTGCTTGCAAGACGCACCCTGGACCGGCAGCTGCGCCCCGGGGTGCCTGCTGGAGGCTGCTGCAGAACAGAACGGAACAGAGGGGAACGGGGCGGCCACAGCCCTGGCATCACGCTTGCCTCGGGTGGGGGTGGGGGGCAGGGGCGGGGCGGGGCGCGGGGGGGGCGGGCGGGGGTGCTGGACGGGGCACCCGCCTCGTGGCGCCCGGCTGCTGGGCAGCGCTACTTGTCCTCGGTGCTCTCGGGCATGCCCGCCTCGATCAGGGCGGCCCGGAACTGCGCCAGGACGCCGCGGATACTCTTGATGAAGCCCTTGGAGAGCGGGAAGAGGGGGAAGCCGATGTCGGGGTAACCGCTCTTCTCAGGCAAGAAGCTCCGGTAACTCTTTCTCCTCTTCTTTGGTTTGACGCTAGGCGGCACCGAGGTGTCGGGGGCCGCGTCCGAGGTCTGGTCTGTGGGGTCCCTGCAGGCCGAAGCCGCGCCCTGGGCGCCCTCCGAGTCCGAGCCCTGGGAGGCCTCCCCCGCGGCCAGGCCCCCGTCCTCGGCGTCCTCGTGGCCACAGTCCGAGAGCTCGGCGGCGGCAGCCGGGGGCTCTTGTGAGCCGCACTCCTTCGGGAGCCCGTTGGGCAGGGCCTGGGCCCGCTCCAGCAGCGCGTGGGTCTGCAGCCAGGACTCGATGCGGTTCACCAGCCGCCAGCCGCCGGTGCTGAAGTGCAGCCGGATCTCCTGCTCGAAGACCTCGGGCGGCCGCCGCACCAGCTGCGTCATGGACTGCACCACGCGGATCAGCGCCATCTCGTTGTAGCAGCGGCTGTTCTCGTAGCCCTCCTGCAGGCCGCGGTCGCTGTCGAAGCCTGCTTCGTTGTAGTAGGGCTCGTTCACCAGGATCAGGCCTGAGAGAGGCGCTGGCTCAGCAGCGGTCCGGGCGCCCCCCCCCCCCCCCGCCCCTCGGCCCTCACCTCGGTCCCCCCGCCGTACCTTGGATGGAGATGAGCACCTGCAGAAGGCTGGACTTGCTGGTCCACCGCTCAGTGCCCTGCGGGCGGGGCGGCACCCCCACGTCAGTGTGGGCCCCGCCCCACCCTAGGGTGGCACCCTCCACACACCCCCCCCCACCCCATGCCCCCAAACGGCACCCACGGCCGTGGCAGGCATGCGGGTCGCACTTACCTTCCCGATCCAGGTGCCCAGGAGGCTGACGCACACCTTCCCGTTGTCGTACAGGTTGGGGTTCAGGCGGCCACTGCACTGGGAGAGGTAGCAGAAGTGGGGGGGCACCGCCGGGTAGATGTTGGGGAGCTGGATGTCGAACAGGTAGAGGCCGTCCTCGTAGGGGGTCCGCGTGGGGCCCTTAATGAGGGCTGAAAAGAGGTCCTGGAGGAGGGAGGGAGCCAGAGGCTGAGCTGTGGGGCTCCGGGTGGGCCTGTGTGGGTGCTCTGCCCACTGAGTCACAGTCCCAGCCCCCAACACCTTCGAACTGTACTGCTCCGAACCTGGGCCCAGTGAGGCAAGAATCACAGCCCACAGGAGGCGAGAGAACATTTGAGAAATTCCTCCAGATTTTTTTTTTTCTCTTTTTGGGTCACACCCGGCAATGCTCTGTGCTCAGGAATCACCCTCGTGGTGCTCAGGGGAACATATGGGACGCTGGGAACTGAACCTGGGTCGGTGGCGGCGCGCAAGGCAAATGCCCCACCAGCTGTGCTATTGTTCTAGCCCCCCAGATCTAATTATTAAAATTTCAGAATTCCAAAGCCGCGGATGCTATTCATAATCAGCAATAGAAAACAAATTGTCTAATGTTGCCTTTTCGGCAGGCCTGAGCGTAGGGGGAAAATCCCAATAATAATGGTGGGTCTGGTGTCAAAATATTGAATATAACCAAAGTAGAGAGAGAGTACTGTGGTAATTATCTGCCCCACAGGTAGGGGGAGGGTGTGGGATGGGGGTATACCGGGGCTTTTGGTGATGGAAAATGTATACTGGTGGAGGGAAGGGTGAAAGCTTTGTAACTGCTCTCACGGTGATTCAATAAAAAACTCATTAAAAAAAAAATCAGGGGCTACAGCCATAGCACAGCAGGTAGGTCATTGGCCTTCCACACAGCCAGCCCGGGGTTTGATTCCCAGTATCCCATAAAGTCCCCTGACCACCACCAAGAGTAATTCCTGAGTGCATGAGCCAGGAGTAACCCCTGAGCATCGCTGGGTGTGATCCAAAAAGAAAAGGAAAAAAAAACAAAAGACCATTCTGGAGAGCAGAGCTGCAGCCTCTCCCTCCCCGTGGGACAGCTGGCCGGCTGCTCATCCCTCCCCGCCTCGTGTGGAGGAAGCCCCCGCGCCTGCCGCCCACTTGCCATTCGATCCTCAAAGGTCTTGACCATGATGCCATCAGGCAGGGACGTGGCCAGCAGGGCCATCTCCTTCCGGACGGTGCTGAAGAACTTCTTGGCCTCCGGGGGCTGGAACTCAATTTTCTTAAAGGAGTGATTGGCTGGGGGAGGGAGAGAGGCGCGTCAGCCCCCACTCTGGGGGTCCAGGCGGCCCGGCCCCTCCCGCGGGGCACGGACTCACAGGGCGCGAACTCCAGCACGGAGAAGACCTCCCCCTTGGCGCTGGTGAAGGTGACGCCCGGCTTGCCGCCACACTGCTGGCACAGCACCGGCGTCTCACTGGGCCACTCGGCCCTCACGGGCGACTGCGCCTCGGGCTTGTCCTCCCGGCGCTCGGCGTCCGGCGCTGCCTCCATCTTCTCCTCCTCGGCGATGGCCACGTTGTCCAGGGTCTTCTTGAGGTTCTCCTGCAGCTTCTTGATGTCGTCCAGGAACTTCTTCTCCCGGGTGGGCTTCTCGGGCTCCAGCGTGGGCGAGGTGGGCGAGCCCGTAAGCAGCTGCTCCACCGTCATGTTCTTGAGGCTCTCCAGGATCTTGATGGCCTCCTTCAGCTCCCGGAAGCTCTTGGGGGGCCCCTCCTTGCCCGCCTTCTCCATCAGCCCGGCCACGGGGGCCGCCATGGCCACCGCGCCCTGAATGGCCGCCGTGGCCGCCTCCTCACTGATCACCACCCCCTTGTCCTCCTCGGGGGCCTCCGCTGGCTCGGGGGCGGGGATCGGGGGCTCCTCAATCTTGGGGTGCTCATCCTCCACCAGCCCGTTGTCCGTCTCCCAGCTGTCGCTGTCGTCCTCCCACTCGTCCGAGGACGCGCCGCTGCTGCTGCCCGCTGCGGAGTCGTAGTCCGACTCCTCGATCTCAGACTCGATGTTGTAGAGGTGCTGCGGGCAGGCCGTGGACAGTGGGCCCTGGGTGCGCCACCCACCCCGCCCTGCCCCCACCCTCCCCAGACCCTTTGGCAGGGCCATACCTGGGGAAGGATGATGGTCTTGGAGTTGTCGGCCCACACCACCTCCACCTTGCTGCTGACATCCACGCGAGCCACCTGGCCCACCGAGGGCTGCAGGCAGAGGGGACCAGGTCAGGACCGGTCAGGGGCAGACCTCCCCTCCACACCACGTCCGGGCTCCCGCCATGCCCCACCGCACACAAGCCCCCATGTCCTCTCTGGCTGCCCTGACACCGCCAGCACGTGTATGCCCGTTGGACTCCAGCGATGGGCGGTGGGGGGGGGTGGAGGGGTGAGGGGGCAGGCCTGGCCAGGGAGATGCCAGCTGGCGGGACCTACAGCCTGGTCCTGTGGCGGCACCTGGCGGCAGCACCAGGAACTGCAGTGTGGGGAGGGGACAGGGGCGGGCGGGCACCTCGTCCTCCTTGGGAGGGGCCCCGTCCTCGGTGTTGCCGATGCGGATAACGATGTCGGTGGTGCGGAACCGGAAGTCGGGGTGGTCAGCAATGTCATAGACGCTCACATCCTCCTCCTCTCCGATCAGCTGGAGCACGGGGGTGCTGGCGTGAGCTCGGAGTCGGCCCCCTTCCGCCCCGCCCCACCCAGCCCAAGGGAGCCGGGGGCCGCACTCCTCACCTCCACGTCATCCCCGCTGGGCCGCAGCTTGAACCACTTCACCATGCAGGTGCGTCCCACGTGGTCCCCGGACTGCACCACGCCGTAGACGGCGGGGTCGGGACAGCTCTGAACTGGGGGCCAGAGGAGAAGCTGCACCCGCGGGGCTCAGCCCCGCCCACGGCCTCCGGCCCCGCCCCCCCACCCGGTGACCTCCCCTGTACCTCGCTTGTCCACCACGAAGTCTCCAGGGCAGAACTCGTTGTTGTCCAGGTGGTGCACGGGGAAGAGGTCGTTGGAGCGGATGTTGCACTCCACGGAGCCGTCCTGCCACAGCACGTCGGCCGAGGTCATGGTGGTCACCACCTCCACTGCCACCCTGCAGAGGGGCTGGTGAGCTGCGGGCCCGCCCTCGCCCACCCCGCCCCGCCCCCGGAGCGGCTGCCCGCCGGGCCGCCCACCTGTCCCCAGGCTTGAAGTCGCGGGCCACCCGGTTCTTCTTCCGCTTGTGCTTGCGCTTGAGGCTGCGCAGCGAGAGGGGGACGCTCTTCTTGCGGCTCAGGCCGCTGCCGCTCTGCGAGGACGTGGTGGAGCTGGCGGAGGAGGTGACGGAGCTCGTGTCGTCCGTGTCGTCGGCCGCCTCATCGTCCGCGTCCTGCTCTGTGGACTGCAGCCTGCTCTCCCCGCCCTCCTTCAGCAGGAAGGGGGGCAGCGGCTCAGCCACCTCGGGGGCCTCCTCGGGGGCCTCGTCCTGCATCTCCACGGGGCTGGCCGAACCCTCAGGCGTCTCCTCCGGGCTGGCCGAGCCCGCCTCGCTCTTAGCCTTGTCCCCTGCCTTCTTGCTGGGGTCCTCGAGGGAGTGCTCCCGGGAGCACGGGGTGTCCGGCGAGCAGGACATGATCCTCACCACCTGCTTCTTCAACAGACGCTTCACCTGCGGGTGGAGTGGGTGCTGTGGGCCCGGGTGGGCGGCCCGCGGGGGGGCGGGGCGCAGCGGCCGCACACGACTAGGTGGCCGCAGGGGCCCTGGAGGACTTACCTTCTTGGCCATGGAGCCCTCCCCCTGCGTGCAGGTCCTCTCCGGGCACTCGCAGGCGATGCGGGCCGGCTCCACCTTGGCCGGGAAGACGTAGAGGCAGCGCTCGCCCAGCTGCCGCTGCGCGTGGTCGAAGCATCCGAGACGCTTCACCCTGCGAGGACAGGCTGGGCCAGCGGGTTCCGACTGGGCGACCCCGGAGAGGGCTGAGGGCGCGGGGGAGCAGGCGGCCCGCGTGGCTGGACGCTGCATTACTCACCTGCCGAGATTCTCCTGGGTGATGACGGAGGGCGGGGGGCTGGCGCTGTCCGTGCCCCCCGGGCAGAAACTCTTGGTGATCCACGTCACTTTCAGCTCCACGACCTGCACCTGGGGAGGGCACGCATGGGACGGGTCAGCGGGGCTCCTGGCTCACTCTGCGGCCCAGCAGCTGTCCAGAGCCCACAGGGGACCACACAAGCCTGCAGCCACCCCGCGACCAAAGGCAGGCCATCCTCCCCCTCGCCCCTACCTCCTCCACCACCACCCGGAACTTGCTCTTCGTGCTCAGCACCGGCTTGACCCCTGACAACCACTGGACGCTGGAGAAGATCTTGGCGGGGCCGATGAGCACCTGGCCCGGGTAGAAGCCATAGGAATCGTCGAAGAAGAGGCCCTGTGGGGGTGGGGCGAGGGGTCCCGTGAGCTCCCCAGACAGGCGCTCTGCACCCCCCACCCGCCCATGCCCCCGGCCCCCGGTTCCCCAGGGACGGGACACCCTGCCGCTCGCCCGGGGAGCTGAAGCCGGCCGGAACGGAAAGGTCTGGTGCTGCGTGTCCACACGGGGCTGGCACACGCACCGAGTCGCTGACGTGTGGGCAGACATCATAGAGCTTGGCGCCATCCTCCGTGTTCATGGAGCACCTGTGCAGGGAGAAGCGGGGGGGGCTGCAGGCACGGCCCACCAGCCCGAGGGAACGAGCCTCCCTCCTGACAGAACGAGGCACGGGTCCCCACCCTCAGTCCGGCCCGGCCCAGCACACCTGGCCCCGTTGGACAGCTTCAGGATGATCTGGTTCTTCAGGTCATAGACCTTCCCCAGCCAGCAGTCGTAGGCGATGTAGTCCCCATACATGAAGGGCTGCAGGCCAAGGCAGGGCGTGAGGCGCTGGGCCCCCACAGGACCCCGAGACACCCAACAAGAGGGGTCCACCCGCAGGGGTCGGGAGGAGGCTGGCACACATCAGTGTCAAGCGTGGGGGAGGGGTGGGGCGGGCGGGAGAGTAGGCCCTCGCATGTCGTGGGGAGGAGGGGGCTGCTCCCTACACCCCACGAGTGCAGGACCACACCAGGGCCGGGGCCGGCTGGGCCGAGCACACAGCTGCTATGTGGCGACCGTGGGTCAGGTCGGCCCAGGAGAGCCGCCCCTGCCGTGGGGTGACTGGCAGGCAGGGCTGAGGTGGGACAGCGAGCGGCTCCACTCTGGGGCTCAGGGGCCACAGGCCACGGCGGGAGAGCGACAACGGAGGAGGAGGAGGAGAAGGCAGTCGGAAGTGACCACTCAGGGAAAGGCCGAGGGCGCAGGGTCATGCAGGATGGAGGGCGGGCGGCCGCGGCCGGGGCTCACCCAGATGTGCTGCAGGTCCTTGCTGTTGACTGGGTAGATGATGCAGTTGGTGCCGATGAGCTTGACCGCGCAGTCGATGCTGACGTCGATGACGGTGCCACATTGGCTATCCTAGGAGGGGCATCCGGATAACTGGGTCAGGGCCCGCCCCGCCCCCACTCCATCCAGACCACACCCACCAGACCCATAGCCCCGCCCCACCCCCAGAGGGTCTCACCGTGGAGCGCATGTGCCGGACCACGTCCCGGGGCACCACGGAGCGGTCCTCCAGCTTCAGCTGTGGGAGAGCAGGTAGCAGGGGTCAGGGGCCTTGGGCACGGGCTATCTGCGGGCACCTCCTTCAGCCTGACCCCAGCTCCCAGACAGGACGCGCGCTTCCCTCCACGTGCTGGGCCTCACAGACCCTCGAGAGCTCGCCCTCTGACTGCCCCCAGCCGGGGAAGGCTGGCAGGCTGCCTCTAGCCTTCCCGTCACTGCCACGGGCACGTTTCTGCCCACGGTGGGCATGCCCACACCCAGGGGCCTGTCCAAGCCCTCCTGACCTCCCGGCCAACTGCCGCTCAGGATGGGTGAAACTGCAAACCTCTACTTGCTGTTTCCCCTGCCAACGCGGCCACCACAGCCTCGTGCCCTGGCACTAGGAGCCTGCAGGATGCTGGGGCGGTGCCCGTGGGCAGGAGGACACTGGGGGGTTGCCAGGAAAGGGGGGCAGGCGGTAGGGGGACATACAACTCTGCGGAGGCTGAAGGCCAGCATGGTAGAAGGAAGTTGGTCCCCGCCCCGCCCTGACCCTCCAGAGCCCCTTGTCTGGGCAGACACTGAGCAAAGGGGGTGGGGGCAGGGAAGGGAGGCCATGCCCCCTGCTCAGGCCACTTTCCTCCCAAGCAGCCTCCAATAGCAGGAACCAGTGTAGGCAGCAGGGACCACCAAAAGTCCCATTTGGACGGGGGTGGGGGGTGTTCAGCAGAGGGCCCGGCGGCTCCTGGGAGCTCCTGGTCCCCTGCGGTGGGTGGGGGAAGGAAGGGGCTATTGCGGGTCTGAAAGGCTACTCTGAGGGCATGTGGGCCCTAGGTGGGATGGGCTTATGGGGGACCCAGCCAGCATGGCCCGGCGCCATCCCCTTGCACACGATGTCATGTCCGTGCACAGACCAAGCCCGGGCGGGGGTGGGGCGAGCACACCCTCAGAGAGGGAGAGGGCAGGGCCAGGAGGCGGCACCCCGCACATGGGGGCTCTCCCGCCCAGACAGCCCCATCCTACAGGGGCAGCGCATGCCGGGCCCAGACAGTCGTCACGGCCCCCCATGCTGGGGGACACTGGGAAAGTCTGCAAACGCCCCCGAGACCCCGCAAGCCCGGGGGGTGACAACTCAGGTTGGAGGGTCCCTTTCGAGGCCTGGTGCCACCCTCCTCCCTGGGCGGGTCCCCAGGCAGCTTTCTCTCTGGAGAGCTGTGGGGCTGGGGCAGAGGCCAAGGGCTGGAGCAATCGATCTACTGGTTTCTGAGTGTTTTCTCCAGATTCAGCACGAGACAGGACATAAATACATAATAAGGAACGTGCCCTGGCTCTAAAGAATTCAGATGGGGAGACAGATTGAACGCCGGGAAAACGTTTGTGTGCAGGAATGCACAGTGCAGCAGTGTGCAGAGAAACGCTTCTGGGTGGCAGGTGGGGGACGTGGGCCGGGCTGGGCAGCGCAGAGCTGGGGCCACCCACCGTGGTGGAGGCAAAGGACACCCCCGCCACCCTCAGCCTCGCCTCGGAGCTGGGCACAGGCCCCGCCCAGCAGGCGGGAGGCAGAGCAGATGCGCCCCGGCCAGCCACGTGCAGGATGGCGTTACTGCCTGGGCCTGCAGCCACAGCACAGAACCTGCTGGAATGACCCAGACGCAGGGCGGCCCGGGGACATCAGGACGCACCCACGCACACCACACACTCATGAGCCAGCCATGCCCCAGCCCTGGCCTCAGAGAGCCTGTCCTGGAAGCGAGTTCAAATCCCCGGTGTCCTGCCTGGCCCGGGTGAGGCACCACAACGAGCAGCCCAGATCCTGCCCAGGACACACCAGCGGGCCCCGAGAAGCAGACCCCAGAGCCCCAGCAGCGGCACGGCTCCAGGGCAGTTCCGTGGGGGGTGCCCAGGACTAAGCAGGGAACAAGCAACAGTCCAGCACTGGGCTTCAGGGGGTGGAGGGTGTGATCAGCGGCACAGGGCAAACGTGCCCCACCTGCCACCCAGGCTCCCGTCTTCATGCGGGCAACCCCGGCCAGGAGTCTCCGTGCAGACACAGTGGCCGCCACTGTGAGTGACCTTGCGCATAGAGGGGTGTCAGCGAGTCCTCAGACTTAGATCCCCCCACCTGCGACCTGCCCAGGCACCTATGGCCACTCACCTCAGCCGCAGGGAGGACTCAAGGCCCCAGGGCTGCACTGGCCGCTGTGAAGACACCTCACCTAGGCGGGCAGCCGGGGACACACATGCCCCTGCCACCCTCTGTAAGGGGAGCGTCCCAGCCCTGGAGGCACAGCAGAGACTGACACAGGGTAGCCTCAGTCACCGGTCAACGCCCACAGCAACCTCGGACTCGCGGCCCGCCAGCCAGTGGCTTCTGTGGTCATTGCACCCCCACTTCCAGAGAGGACAACACAGGTTCACGGCAGTGAGGGCACACGACCTCAGGGGAAACGGCCGATGGCCCTGGCCTTCGGGTCCTGGCCTGGAGCAGCCACTTACTGGAACCTTCAGGGCTCTGAGAACCTAGCACAGATACTGAGGGCCAGAGACGTAGCACAGTGGGCAGGGTATCTGTTTTGCACACAGCTGACCCAGGTTTGATCCCCGGCATCCCATAGGCTCCCCGGAGCACAGCCAGGAATAATTCCTGAGTGCAGAGCCAGGAGGAATTCCCGAGCATCACCAGGTGTGTCCTAAACTGTCCCCCTCCAAGACCCAAATTTCCGGGTCGGGTGGCACGGGTGAGGCACCTGCTATGCCAGCCCGTGGCCACCCCTGGTGTGATCTCTGGCACTGCACATGGTTCCCGGAGGACCAACAAGGAAGGCCCAAGCTCAGCAGCAAGAACAGCCCGCAAATACCACAGGGTGTGGTCCCAGGCCCCGCCAAGACAGAGTCATAGCCACAAGTTCAAGCCCCCACCTAGCCCATGGTTCTGTCCGGTCACCAGATGCGAACAGACTGAGGGGAAGTCTGCATCACAGCCCAGGGGCCTGTCCGTTCCCCCAGACTGCGCCCAGGAAGGGCCAGGCCATGCTGCCCGCTGGCCCACAGGTGCCCCCACGCGAGGAGGACGCTGGCCTGCAGCACAGGTGGCCAGCACTGAGGCCTCGCCCGCGGGGATGCTCTTGCTCCGAGCACTTCTGCCTGCGAGCAGCCTCTGGTCGATATCCCTCAGCTGAGTGTGCGCAGGGCTCACTCGCTTGGTTTATTTTTAAAGATGCAAATACAGGAGAAAAAGGCAGTAAAAATAACGCCAGAGCCAGACGAGGGCCGACCCCGAGACTAGGCACTCGTGCGAGCACTCAGGTGCGCGCATGTCCAGGAGCAAGACTGAGCTTCCGGCCGGCCCAACCCGTCACTCGCTGAGCCGAGCCAGACGGCAGAGGCGGCCCCACCCCCACCGCGCCCCCGCATCCAGCTGGCCAGGGGTCACTCCCGAAGACCATGGGAACCTTGCTGCCCCTGGCTTCCCTGGGGCCCCACAGCGACCTGCAAGACCACGGCAGGGGGGCGAAGCCAAGGCCGGGGGAGGGTGCGAGGGGCCTCGGGAAGCGCCCAGGGACCCCCGATACGTCACGGTCTCGTGTGGTACAGTGATGGCCCTGACGGCAGCCCCAACAGACTTTCCGGCTCCCGGCCTGCACCGTGGCCGTGCCAGCTGGACAGAACAGGCACAGCCCTGCTGGAGGGGAAGCCTGGAGCCCACCCCGCAGCCCCGCACACCTCAGTATCGAGGATGGCCCAGGTTGGTCAGCCCTATGTCCCTCACCACCAGATCAGCGGAAGGGACGGACTGAGGCACCGCCACGGGGGGTCGCCAAGATGGGGCTCACACAGGCCCCGGGGCAGGAGAGGTGAGGTGCAGGGCGGGAGCGGGGTCAGGAGGCTCGCGCCGCACCCCGGATCAATACTCTGCTAAACGCTGCCACAATGACATCTGAGACAGCACCAGGCTCAGCAAGGCGTCGGCCAACGCCCCGGGCCTGTCCACCGACTCAGTCTTGAGGGCTCCTACCAGGATGAGTGTCAGCTCAATCCTCGGGTGTGACCCCAAAACAAGGCAAGCGTGGGCCCCAGGAGTGACTTGCTTCGATTTCGTTCTGGCTCGCGGTGTCTCTGCGACGGACAGTGCTGGTTTTGGTCAGTGCTTCGACAGTGAAGGGCAGCCGGTCAGGGAGCTGACGGCAGAGGACAGCTGCCCGCCCCCACCCCGCATTCAGAAACTGCTGCCCCTCTAATTTATTCACCGCAGACTGCTGCCAAGCGCTTCCTGCTGTGGCGGCAGAAAGGGGGGCTCCTCCCGCTGGGTCTGCGCCCTCACCCACTCCCATCCCCTCCAAGCACACCCCGCTCCTCAGCGCGTGGTTCAGGAGTCTTCCTGGGTGCCAACCAGCCCTCTGGGCACCAGAGGAGGGTCCCAGCTACGTGCCGAGTTGTTTCCCAACACCCCGCTGCCGGCTCGTGATGTCACCTCGCGAGGGAGAGGCCGAGCCGTTTACATACACGCTGGGATGTAATACTCGTGCTCCTGGCCACTGTGCCACCAGGGCTGGTGTCCCCGGACCCCTGCAGTGTGGCCGGAAATGGCCAATGACCCTGGGCTGCTTGCGCCATGTTCTAGCACATGTGGGTAGCACTGGGGTCAGACTCAAGACCTCACTCCTGCAGGCAGGCACTCCCCCCACCAGTCACCCCCTGGTTCCTGACCTGCTAACTTATAAAGCACATTTGGGGAATTGGGGAGAGAGTATGGTGGGCCAGGTTGCTTGTCCTGCATTAGGCTGACCTGGCAATCCATATGGTCCCCCAACCCTGGGCACAGAGCCAGGAGCAAGCCCTGAGCACAGACAAAACAATGACAATGCCCATCCCCCCTCCTCCGTTGGAAAGACCCTATTTCTACTCTTTCAATGGTTACCCTTAGGCTTTTGGGTGGGGGGCCACACCCTGCAGTGCTTAGGGCTTACTCCTGGCACTGTCCTCAGGGTCACTCCTGGGCCACATACGAGGCGAGCATCCCACCCAGTGCACCATGGCTCC